ATGGGGCTGTCAGGGGTGGGGGGAGAGGGACGCAGAGTGAGGGGCTCTGCGGGGAGCGAGCGAGGGGTGGGGCTGTCGGGGGCCGATGGGGGGGCTGGATGGATGTGCGGGCTCAGGCTGGCACTGTACGATTGGGGGGCAGAGCGCGCTGGGAGTAGCAGCCCCAAGAGGGCTGATTTCCCCTCTGGGGTCCGCACTGCATGCTCTGCCTGAGGAGCTCTGCCCCCTCCCCCCCCGGTACGACCATGCTGAGGAAGGTGCCTGGGGCCCCCCTGTGCCACTCCCCAGCTGCTCTGCTGGGACCCTGCTGGCTGTAACAGGGAAGCAGCGGGGGGGTGGGGGAGGGTGCCAAGGGGGAGAGCCCTGGGGCTGGGCTGCTGCAGAGCACGGGGGGGGGGTACAGCTGGGGTGGGGGGAGGGTCTGCGTACCCAGCGTGGCCCTGCTGCCCGCCCCCAGCGCAGGAGCCCCTGGCCCAGCTGGGCGTCCTGTCTGGGCCTGCCGGGGTGGGGCGGTGACGAGCCAGGGAGCTGATGTCATTTCCAGGTGTGTTCAGACGCTGCACAGGGCCCAGGAGAGCTGGGGCATGGGGGCCTCTCCCGGGGCAGAGCCTAGGCGGGGCAGAGCCCAGGTGGTGCCCAGCCCCTGAGCAAAGTGCGGCCAGCCGGCCGGGGCAGCCCACCCTTGGGGCGTGCACCTCGGGGGCTCCCTCACTCCCTGCTGCCGGAGAGGCCCCCGCCTGCAAACCGGACAGGTGAGCAGCTCCTTCCAGTTGTGTCCTCCCCACTCCTGGCAGCATGCCCACCTGTCCGGTACCACGCTCTCTGCAGCCCTGCTGGTGACCTTTGATCGCTGATTGCAGGCCCAGACTGGCCCAGCAAGGGCGAGACACAGCCCAGCCTGCTGTGGGATCGGCCGGCTTGCCTCGTGCCCCAGCCGGTCGGGGCTGTGCCAGCAAGGTCCTTACCCAGCCCCTGCCTGCCAGCCAGCTGTCTGTCTGTCTGGGCACCTGTGCCAGGCTCATCACTGGGGATCCCAGCTCCCTGACATGAAGGAAACATGGAGGGCCTTGATCCCTCGCTCCCATGCTCAGCTCTTACATCCAGGTGGGCAGGGAGGCAGTGCCAGGGTGAGGGGGAATCTTGCCCCCCTGCTGCCCATCCCAGCAGCAGGCAGGACAGAGGGTGATGGGCTGCTCGGCCATGCCCCAGCATCCCCACATCACTGGTCCCCACGTGGTCGTGCCAGGGTGATGCGGTGCCAGGGCATGCCCTGTCGGGGGGCTCGTGCCAATGGGGGGCTCTGGCGATGTGGAAGTGGCCATGAAAAGTGGGCTGAATATCAGACCAGCCGGTGCCTCTGATGGGGGGTCGCTGGCAGCTCCGAGGGAGGGACCCGCCGGCAGCTCTGGGGCAGGAGTCCTGCTGGGGGGGTCCTGCCAGTGGCTCTGGGTGGGGGGCGGTCTGGCTGGCAGCTCTTGGGGGGGTCTGGCTGGCGACCCGGAGCCTCCCCAGTTAACTGGCTGGCATGTTTCAGGTCTGGCCAGCAGTGGCCCCGTCCCCGCTGCCCCACATGGAGAGCTGGGCCCACAATGGCACAGAGGCGCGGCCCGTGGGTTCCCCGTTCACTGAGACCGTAAGTTGCGAGGGGGGGGGAGTTTAGGGGCCCCTGATGGGCTCCCCACATGTGGAGGGCAGCAGGCTGGAGCCAGGGCTGGGCACGTTGACTTCTCCCAGGGCAGCACGGGCAGAGGCCTGGTGAGCAGGGGATCCCCGGCCAGGAACCCACAGACAGGCTGGCACAAGGGAGCCCCCTCTGGGGAATGGGAACGGGGCCCAGCCGCTGGAGGGCCAGGGAGAGTCTGGGGAGGAGGAGTTGGGAGATTCTGGAGGGGGCCAGCCAAGGGGTAGGATTCGGGGGCTGCACACTGGGGCGGGGGGGTAGCTTGGGGACACTGGGGCTGGCTGTGGGGGAGGGAAGAGTCACAGCAGGGCCAGATCGGGGGTGGGGTGAGAGATCTGGGGCTGGCTCAGGCCATGGAGGAGCCATTCCCTGACCCCAGGACTGAAGGGAGAGGGCTGGGGGTGCCCTTGGGGAGTGGAGCCTGTGGGGCGTGGTGCCCAATCCCCCTCCGGCATGTGGAGGTCACGGCTTGCACTGATCTCTGGGGCACCCCACTGCCCCCTTCCCTGCCCTCGGCACTAACCCCCTCCCTGGTGCTTTGCAGGACTCAGAGGGGCCCCTGGGCCACGGGCTGGCCGGGGGCAGGAAGCCGGTGGCCCAGTGGACGGTGTCCGAGGTGTGCGCCTGGCTGAGCAGCAGGGCGTTGGGGGCACAGGGCCCACTGGTGCAGGCGGCACGGAGCCACGCCATCTCCGGGAGGGCGCTGCTGAGGCTGACGGAGGGGACGCTGCAGAGGATGGGAGTGGCGCCCGGGAGCCAGCGCCGGCAGCTCCTGCAGGAGGTGCTGCACCTGCGCTTACAGCAAGAGGTGCAGGAGCTCCTGGACATCGCTGATGGTGAGGGGGTCCCCCTGCGGGGCTGGGGGGGGGTCTGCCCTGCAGGGGGTGGGGGTCTCGGCCCCAGCACTCACAGGAGAGGCTCCCCCTGCAGGAGATGGAGGTCTGAGCCCCCACACTATGGAGGGGTCCCCCTGTGGAGGAGAGGGGTCTGAGCCCGGCCCTCGGGGGCAGTGGCCATGGGTGAGGGGAAGGAGGCACCCCAGAGCCTGGAACGGCCCCAGCGAGATGAGAGCTCTCACACAGTCCCCATCCCGCCCAGCCCGCCCCGCCATGCTCCCCTGCAGGCTCCGTGCAGGAGGCCTAGCCCCGTGGCGGTGCGCGGGGGATGCTGGCAGAGCCGGCTGTGCCCAGCTCCCGGCAGGCCCGTCTCAGGATAAATCCCGATAGCCCTGAGCTGGGGAGGTGCCAGGGCTGGGCTGGCCTGTGCCCGGGGTGCCCTGCTCTCAGCCCCACTGCATGTTCTCCCCGAGGCCCCTCCTCAGCCCCACTGGTTACAACCTGGGTGGCATTGCAGCGGACTGTTTTCCCCAGAGTGACGAGCCGAGCCTGCGGCCCCATGGGCACAGGAGCCAGGCCCCGGCGGAGCAGGACTGGAGCAGCGGCTGGGTGCGTGGCCTGGCACTTCCCCGGCATGTGGGGCTCGGCAGGGCTGCGGAAGGACCATGAGGCAGCTGGGATCAGAGCACAGGCTGATGCCCGTTACCCATGGCAGGAGCACTGGAGGGGACTCGGAAACCCCCTACATTAGGTGCCCTTTGCTCTCCGGCCAGACACGCTCCAGGACTGCAGAGAACGACACAGCGTCAAGGCATGCTGAGAGCTGCAGCCTCTCCAGGGGCAAGTGGGATCCCACCGCTGGCAGCAACGCTGCTCAGGCCCATGGGATTGGCCTCAGCGTGCTTGGGGGAGGAGACCCCGCTGGATGCTGGATAGCAGCTTCCCATGCTCGTTACTCCATGGTGCGTCTGGCTGTGCCCAGGGCCCCAAGAGAAGTGGCCGTGGGCAGCGGGTGGGGTTCAGAGAGGCTGTGTTCATTCAGGGCTCGCCCCTCCACACCCTCCCGATAGGACGGAGCAGGTTCAAGGGGCTCATGCAACTTCACTCGATTTATTCCATCTGAAAGCCCCTGGCAACCCCTTCCCTGAGACGTGAGTCAGGAGACCAGGCATGCTTGCTGCACCGGCCAGCCCTGCTATGTGACCCTACCATAACAAACCACTGTGCCCTCTGCAGCCCTGCTGGGTGACCCTACAATAACAAACCACTGTGCCCTCTGCAGCCCTGCTGGGTGACCCTACAATAACAAACCACTGTGCCCTCTGCAGCCCTGCTGGGTGACCCTACAATAACAAACCACTGTGCCCTCTGCAGCCCTGCTGGGTGACCCTACAATAACA